CCCCAAAACCCCAAAACCCCAAAACCCCTTAAAACTTAATAATAATTGAAAATGGGAGGAGGACCCAGCAAGCCCAAGAAAGGTAAGTAACTTCTCTATTCCTCAAATTCAAAAAGCTCATAAATTGTAGAGAAGAAACCCAAATCTACTCAGAAGAAGGATAAAGCTAAAGAAAAGACTAAGAAAAAAGAGAAAAAGAAGAATAAAGAGAATAAGCCTCCTTTGATCAAGAATGTTTTTGATCAGTTCATGACTGGTATTTTTTTATATCTTCATTGTCTTCATACTTATGTTACAGAGCAAATCAAGAACAAAGAAATTACACCAATAGAAGAAACAAAAGAGGATACCACCCAGAAGAAAACAAAAAATAAGAAAAAGAAGAAGGGTACTCTTCATATTTTATGTGCATTATTGTGCCTTCTTGACCATTGAGTTTGCCACAGATTTCTAATTCTTTGTAGAAAAGAGCAAATCCAAGAACAAGAACAAAAATGTTGCGTATGTGTCCAGGCAGTTCTGCATTTTTAGAATACTCGGAAGTTTGAGTCCATTCTGTTTCTTTGTTATGGCTTTCTTTGATGGGACCAAACGTGGATTTTATAGTCCAAATAACAATGTCAGCCAAACCAACAATTTGACAATGAACAGTCTTGTGAATGTAAGTTAGTTTGCTTTGTTTGTCTTAAGAACTTTATATTCTTAACAAATTAAAATTATTTAGAAAATGAATAGCAACTTCAAGCCGTTAGGGACTCCAGGATTCCAAGGTCCGATCAATAGTTCGAACAATATTAACGAAGAGCATGACCTCCTCGACCCATACGGATCAGTAACCTCGATACTAATGAGAAATAGAATTTAAAACCCATTTTCAAAAGCCAATTGTTTTCAGGCGACAAGCTGCTTTTATTGTGTGAAGAAAAGTTTTTACCAAAGCCTCCTGAGTATTGAAACCCGGGAGTCCAAGAAATATTCATGGCTCTGAACCTTGCCAGGACTCACCCAAAGATGTTTTGTAAAAGGTAGGTCAGCGTTTAATTCTCATAGGATCCTCTCTGAGTTGGAGTCAAGGTACACTGACGATGAGTACACCTGCATCAGTGGTGTCAAGATTAAGGTATTCTTCTGACTCAACTCTAGACCATCGAAGGTGTCTCTGCTCTTGAGCAATGCATCGAGAACTTGCAGCAACGAGAACCAGTGATGCCTTTAGAGTGGAATAAAGATTTGACTGAAGCTGCCAAAGACCATGTCAAAGACATTGGCACCAATGGACTTCTGGGTCATGAAAGCTCTTCAGGCCTTGGAATCTACGATCGAATCCTCATGAACAACGACAACCAAGCAGTGGGGATGTGGGCAGAAAACATTGTGTTCGAGGTCAGTGATCCAGTCGAGATTGTCGCTCTCATGCTTATTGATGATGGAGATTCTATGAAAGCTAGAAGGGAGAACGCTCTAGACCCTGCTCATCAAATCGTCGGGATATCATTTGGAAGCCATGTGTTCAAAGGCTACGTAACAGTGTGAGACTTCTGCAGAGAATACATAGATGATGACAAGATGTTTGAGATGAAGATGGGCATTTATGATTACCAGAAGGAAGAACAAGACGATTAAAATTAACCTATTCAATATCTAAAATATCTCTTGGGGTTTTGGGGTTTTGGGGTTTTGGGG